CTGAACACTCCAAAAACGGGCAATTAGGCCACTGAACTCTCCAAACGTAAACAATTTCACCGGATAGCAGGTTACCTGCTTACGTGGCAGCTGAGTTGGCATTTTTAATAATTTTTAATAACTAATTTTAATAATAAATTTTATAAAAAATTGAAAAAAAATAAAATAAAAAATAAAATAAAGTCGTTTTTATTTTTTAAATTTTTTTTAAATTAAAATTTATTATTAAAATTTATTATTAAAATTTATTAAAAATGATTTAAAATTTATTAAAAATGCCAACTCAGCTACCATGTAAGCAGATAACCTGCTAAAATTGAGGGTAACCTGCTATCAGGTGAAATTGTACATTTTTGAAGTGTTCAGTGACCTAATTGCACTTTTTCTTCGTTCAATGGCCTAATTGCATTTTCAGGTTACGTTCAGTGGCCAATTTGAACCTTATTCCTAAAAAAAAATAACTACACTTCTTAAGATAATACAACTGAACAGAACAATACATAATACACAAAAATCTACAAAATCAAATAAGAGCTAGGCTCAAGGGATGCCCCTATATATTAAAAGAACCATCCCTATGGAAATGTCATGTACCATTATAGAACAAATCTAATCTAATCTAACAACGTAATAATGATCAAATGTTGTTGCCGACCTACAAATTAAAGAAAAACACTTTAAACCGTATTAAAGATATAAGCAATTGAAACCGTATTAATGGTCAAATCTCGAGTCAATTTAAGCATGACAGAAGTTTTAATACTTGTTATAGTTTTTGTTTTAAAAATTATATGCACAAAAAATTTTGAGTTTTTGGATTGATAAGGTTTGTAAATAATTAAAGCACAAAATATGAAGCAATAAATAAAGTTGTATAGTAATTTCAATAAATAATAATTTTTGACATAACACCATCCAACAAAATCGAATTTTGTCCACTATTTTCAGGTTTTGATGTCATGTGTGTGTCTATATATATCATTGAATACTAGTTTTAATACTAGTTTTATTTTAGGCTGATCAAATATCACTATCAAATTAGTTTCAGTCCATAATGATATTATTCATAAAGTAATCAACTTAGGTATTCTAAGTACTAAAATAGCTTTTGGTTAGCACTTCATGATGATTACACTATTATTATCAATAGTTCCAACACTTAGTACCTAATCATCTTTGGTCATGATCGACTTGCTCCCACTCCCTAATTAATTATTCATCTCAAAGTTCTCTCATGTCCATTTCCATCAAGTCAACAGGCATCACCCGTTAAAACACACTATTTTATTCCTCCAATTATTTTTTATTAAGTAGAGCAAAGGCTAATTATTATTTAATTTTTCACGTCAAATGATATTGCATTTATCCTTTAATGTTATTTCAATTATTGGATATGACTACTATATGCCCTATCAGATATATGACTACTATATGCCCCTTGAATGACAATATAGTTCATAAAAAAATATATCTTATATATCATTAGTATATGAATGTTCGTTTAATTAATTTGAAAATTTTTAAGGTGTCAATGGACATTAATGTTATTTGTACTCGTTATAATTCCAAAGTGAATGGTGAATAGGGTAAGACTTTGACTTTGTGTACCAATTACAATAGATGCACTCCTCAATAGTCAATACCCCGTACGAACATTAAACATTTTTCAAAAATTTTTGGCTTGTTTACAGTACAAGAAGCATCCAAGACTTTCTTTGATGTTTTATATCAACAATAAATTACAATAAATCACATTATTTTTTTAACGAATACTATTGACCGGACATCACTTTTGCAAATTAATTTTGTATAATTTTCGTACGATGAACATTATGTATTGTCGGTGTATAACACATATATATCGATGATGTATCTAATATTTTCTCATATGAAATATTCATAAAACTATGATGAGGTTTCTAATATGCTAATTAGACCTGAGATTCCATAAATATTTTGCATGTACACCTTGGAAGTCTTGCTCTAGTAATAAGGTGATGGTCCAATTTCCACTGAAGAAATAAGGAGTCACGACTCAAAATTTAAAAAATTAATCAGACGTGATGAAGGCTTTTTGTACACATAGTGTACCTTCAAGGGTGGAATTGAGGACTAACTATACAATTCATGATTTACGTTCTCCAGCGTCCTTGTGTAGACGTTCTGAGACTTAAGATTACTCTAGCATAAGCAGAGAAATCTAATGTATCCAAAAATAAATAAATAAATAAATAAATCTCGTACACTATTACACATAAGACGTCGTTTATATACTAGTACTAGGCTAATAACAAAATTTATTGTTGATTGATGATCTAGTGAGCAGGGCTATTTGCCTATATTCTTAGGCCGTCAGTCAATTTTGGCTTATTTAATTTGACCACTATTAACTGTTTGACTTGGTTAAACAATCAATATAAGTGTTTGATTAATTAACTTTTTGTAATAACTTAATGCTCTGAATGCTAAAATTTAAAAAGCTACTCAAAGTAGCTTTTTCGATAAACTTTTTAAGAAAGTCATTTTGTATGTCATCAGTTAACCGCTAACAGCTAATTTATCAAATATTTTTCTACAATCAATTAATATTAGAGTTAATTCCAGCAATGGTCCTCCGACTATATTGATTTTCCAAAATTAGTCCTCGACTTTTAATTTGGACACTTTACATCCTTTGACTTTCAATTTCTTTTCAATTGAGGTCCTTTCGTCAGATTACGGTAAAGTAGACTTTAAATGAAAGGGTAAATTAGTCATTTCATCTGCCTAATGTATAATTCTTCGTATTTCTTCCTTGTATACGCGACTTCGGACATCAGATTCACTTAATTGCTTAATCGCTAATGGAATTTTGTTCTTCGAGTGGATTTAGGGATTAAGTAATTAAGTAAATTTGATGTCCGAAGTTGCACATACAAGGGAGAAATACGAAGAATTATATATTAGACAGATAAAATGACTACTTTACCCTTTCATTTAAAGTCCAATTTATCATAATCTGACAAAAGGACCTCAATTAGAAAGAAATTGAAAGTCAAGGGATGTAAAGTGTCCAAATTAAAAGTCGATGACTAATTTTGGAAAATCAACATAGTCGGAGGACCATTGCTGGAATTAACTCATTAATATTATCAACTAAATAAAGTCACTAACCTAATCAACTAACCGCTATCCGCTAACAGTCATTTACCAAACACTCCATTAATCATGGATCTCAATGCAATATTCCCCAACTCCGAGGATACGTTGTTTATTAATTCATTTTGATATCTTCCCAGGGTCCTAATGCATGGAGCGGTGTCGTATTGGTGGGAGACACGCTCTTCTTCTTCCTCGTAAATACTAAATATACGCGATTTACAACGGAGCCCCGTAAAAGTCGTAAGATACGACGCCATCGAATTGACGGTTTCACCCCCACCGATTTTAACTGGCTTTCGGGGTGTTTTGGAGAATTCGACGTAGCTGTCATTAAATCTCGCGAAACAAACATACCTTGTGAGAAAACGATTGGTCGTTGAGCAAATGCACGTGGTGTGTAGGAACAACGTAACAAAACTACAAAAGTTGATTCTTGATGGGGCTGCCCCGTACTCACGCGCATCAAGGCGATTCCCCATCACGCCCTTTCACGAACCGCACGCCCAAGCCGCGTGCATTGCGTTGACCCACTCATTTTTCTATGAAAAACTATTATTTTAAAAATTGTAATTTCAGTTATCTAACACTATAAAAAAATATAGACTTATAAAGTACTTTTTACAATTAAAAGCAGAGTTAACTTCACCGGAGATCACTTGTCTTTGATGATAATTTTAAATTTAGTCTCAGATTATCGCTTTTGTCATTTTACATCCCAGACTATCGTTTTTTGAACACTTTTAATTCTCCTTATAATTTTTTCTATTTTTAGTAAGAGCATTTTTGTATCTTCATATTTTTCTTTTGTTATTTTTTCAGTTTCAACCAGTTTAATTGGTGTAGTACTTTACTAAAAATTGGTTGAAAAATATGGTTACTAAAAATCAGAGGTTACTTAAAGTTCTAAACCAATTAAACTGACTGAAACCGGAAAAAATAACAAAAGAAAAATATGAAGAGACAAAAATGCTCTTATTAAAAATAGAAAAAAATTATGAAAATAACTAAAAGTATCCAAAAAACAATAGTCTGGGATGTAAAATAACAAAAACAATAATCTGAAACTAAATTTAAAATTACCACCAAAGACAAGGGACTCCCGGTGGAATTAACTCTTAAAAGCATCGCATATTCGTATGCCGTATCAATACAATAAGGAATTGATGGAAATGCATTAATTTCTTTATCGTTTTTACAATTTAGTACTATGAACATGCCGTGCTTAATTAATTAGGGAACAAATCGAACTTTGAATCATGATCTCTATAATATAATGCTCCCTTAGCTACCAATATTCCATAACGCCATTGGATCCTTTTGCCACTACATTTTTGGTAAAACGATAAATTCATTGTATGATGATATGGAGTATTTAAAAAGGAGTTAATACTCAATTTAATCATTGATTGTAGTTTTTTTATTAGTTTTTTTTTTTTTTTTTTGGATGTAGTCCCAAAAGATTCTTTGTGCTTAATTATGTCATCGACTTTGATGATTTTACTCAATTGAGTCATATGTTAAGATACTATGATAATTTTACCTCTATTAATACTCAATTTAGTCTTCGACTATAATAGTTTTACCCAAGTTAGTCTTCGATTATAATGATTTTCCCCAATTTAATCCTCGACTATAGTGATTTCTCTCAGTTTAGTCCTTAAATTGAGAAAAATACTATAGTAAAGGTCTAAATTGGGTATTAACTCATTTAAAAAAGAGAGTTTGTGTTTGTTTTTATATATACTCAAATTTGGAAATCATTTAAAAAGAAAAACAAAGAATATAATAGGCACAATGATAATGTTATGATCAAACACTTATCATTACGCTAAAAACTAAGCAATAACTATGATTCTGATACCACTTATTAGGATTAAGCGCTTACCACTATGCTAAAAGCTATAACTCGTAGCAAAGACGTAACTATATTTTCTCAAGGTGCTAGACTTAGCGTGTCATGTCTCCGCCTAACAATCCTTCTAGCCACCTGGTGCTAGACAAGACTCTTTACTAGCTTTCGCCCAACAGATAATATATTGTGAAAGCATTAAAAAAATATTACCCGCTATTATAATTGTCAAACATATAAAGAAATATTGTTATTATCGACTATATAATTATACACTATGATGTGACCTAGCAATAATGATTTTCCATCATTGCTAGAACATAATAACTTTTTTTTTAATGACACGATAAACTTGCACTCACTATTTGAGAGTATGGACTAGGTAAACTCCATTCATGTGTAAATAGCTCATCACACAGCTCACACTCTATGAAGACCATGTACGATGAGCTCGATCGAAAGGATATTTATAAGAATCAAACTCGTGATCTTTAGATAAGAAAATCATATTTCGATCACTCGACTACTCTTTTTGGGGCGTAAAATTAAATTTGAGAGATAGAAGGTGATCGAGAGAAGTTGAATGTTAGGTTGGGCGTTGGTAATAATGGGATTCTTCCATCCCTCTTTGGTCTCAAACTTATACTCTATTTGTGCCTCTGATCTCTACATGGAATGCCACCTACAATTGTAGTTGGTGAGTACTCATGGCCTAGCCATGATATATGATAACTTTGTTTAGCCTTATAAGGAAATTATTCCCTTCCCAATGTGTGGTAATCGAATTGTCAATTCAACATATCGCCTATTTGCCCTAGCTACATTGAAAAATGTTTGTTTATCTTAGGTGTTTGGAAACTTGAAAAATGATTTCTAAAAACCATTTTTTAGATTTTTTGTGTTTGGCTACACTTAGAAAATTCAGTCAACGAAAAACATTTTCCGTTGACTAGGGAAAATGTGCTCATTTTGGCAGAAAATGATTTGGCGGAAGTCATTTTCCGCCAACAGAGCACTGTTTTGTTATGGTTTCCAGCGAAAACCAGACCACTGGTTTCCGCCGGAAACCCCTGTTTTTTTTTTTTTTTTTTTTTTTTTTTTAGGTTTCTGGCTATCACTTTGAGTGTCCGCTATGGCCACTGTCGGGGGAGCTCCCACCTGTTGCTGGAGAACCCAGCTCGCCCGAAAATAGGGGAAGAGAGAGGGAGAGCGTTGCCTTCACGAACCTCACGGCACTGCCGTCCCCGCCATCTGTTACTGCTGCCATGGCTTCCAACCAAGCTTCAAGCTGTTGGAAGAAGGTCGCGCGGTGCTGCTGAGTCTTCACCGCTGCCAGACGAGGAAATGAGAGACGGGGGTTCAAGCTGTCATGCCGCCGTCGTAGAGCCGACTGAAAGAGGATAGAGGATCATCAGCTTTTGGGATGAAGGAGATGGGAATTTAACACACACACACACACACACACACACACACACACACACACACACACACACACACACACACACACACACATATATATATATATATATATATATATATATATATATATATATATATATATATATATATATATATATATATATATATATATATATATATATATATATATATATATATCTTCATTATAAATATTTTTATATTCTAAATAAAATAATTCAAATATTTAATTATACAATTCTACTCATTTTCCAGAAAATGAACTAAACACACCAAGACAGTTTTCCAAATACAACCAAACATTGGAAAAGGAAAATGTTTTCTGGAAAATGAATCATTTTTCAGAAGTCATTTTCCTACTTTCCAAACGGACCCTTATGTTATATCTTACCAATCTGGCTAGCTTGCACTATGCACGGTAGTAAAAAATTTTATATTAGACGCAAAGAAGCGAATGGTTCTGTTTGGTAAATGGGTGTTAGCTATTAGCTGATTGCGTTAACTAGAAGGTATAACTAGTTGGTAACATTAGCTGATTATAGAAATGCGTTTGGTAAATTAGTTGTTAGCTTATAGCTGTTTGGTATAATTTTTTTCTCAAAAAACTAATTGAAAAAGTTGCTTTGAGCAGCTTTTTGAAAATATTTTGGAGTTACAAAAAGCTAATTAACCAAACACTTATATTGATTTTTTAACCAAGTCAAACAGTTAATAGTAGACAAATAAGTCAAAATTGACGACTGATAATATGCTAACTGTGTTTTACCAAACAAGACCAATATATTAATTGCAGACGCATAATATACAATTAATATATTATGTGCCAGTTAACAACTTAACATATTATGTGTTCTTAGTTAACAAATTATGTGGTTTCAATTTATTTACAAACATAATCTATTAACGGGAGTCATATAATATGTTAATTGCAAGCACATAATTTTTGTATCAGAGTCTACAATTCAAGATGGAACCTAGCTCATGATATAACAATTGACTGACATAAGTAAGTCGTTTTCTATTGAGCGAAGCCTTTGAGAATCGGGTCATGCCTAATTACTCCATCTATCAATAGGCTTTAATTTTCATCGATTTGAGTTTTTATTCTTTTGACTCATCACAGGCCCCTACTTATGATAGATAGATGTTTAAGAAACTTTGTTGTAGCAGATGAATGAGGAATTAGAGGAGCAACGCAGTCATGTTTTAAGCTTTATTCTCTATATTGGAAAGGACAACATCAATATGGTTTTAAATCCTCAAGCCTACATCAATAAAAAATTTCGCCCAATTACCACATAAATTCGACATGTATTTCGTCGGTAAGAAGCGTAAAAAGTGAGGATTAATATTTGCCAATCATCAAATTCATCAATGATTAAGGGTCTTACTAAATTTAAAAAAAAAAATAAAAAAAATAAAAACAAAAGTCAATTTTATAATTATTGTAATTTTTTTATAAAAAAAACTGCCATCCATCTAGTCAAATCTAACAATTTAGAGCAAAGAGGGAAAAAATGCAGTCATAATTTGATAATTTTTCAACTTTAAGTGTACACTTTACAACAATATATAGTGCACTTTGCAATATGATACTATAATTTTTGGTCAGTTTGAAAGTGCAATGCACTTAAGGTTCACTTATTAAGTTTATAGTTTAGTTTTTTTTTTTTTTTTTTTGGTTCGGTATAGGGTTTTGCTTGTTAATTTGGTTTAGAGGTTTTTTTTTTAAGTGTTTTATTAATTTTCTCCTAATAAATAGATTTTCATGTGAGTGTGTTTTTAAGAATATAATGGATGAGATTAGTTTGCAAGTCTCACTTGAAGCCTAATCCCCTCTCTCTCTCTCTCTCACGATCTTTAAATAGTATCTCTAATTAACTTAATTCCTGCTTAAGACATAGGGGCATTTGAAGACCAAAAATCTAAAAAAAAATGATTAAATGTGATGAAGACTCTTTGTACGCAGAGTGTATTGACATGGGTGGAACTGATGATTGAATGAGGACTCGTAATTTACCTCCTTAAATGTTTTTGGGTAGAGATTTTGAGAGTTTAAAATTAATTTAGTGTAAACGAAAAAAAAGGGAAGAAATAACTCTAGGGAAAAATATAATGGAATAGAAGAAGCACTCTTCTTATGAATAAAAAGTGTGTGACGACAAAGCATCATGCATGCAATGCCACATCGCATATTCTAATACAAGGAAATGCTTCCTTTCTGGTTTTCACGATTTGGTACGATGAACATGCAATGCCTATGCCATGCTTAATTATGGAACAAAATGAACTTTCACTCCCAATATTCCTTTTGCGACTGCTTTTTGGTAAGACCATAATAAATTCATTGCATCATGATATTGCAATTTTTTTATTATTTAAGAATAGAATAGGGTGCCCTTCCCTTTGCCAACAACAAAGGCAAAGAAGAAAAATACCCCCCAGAAAAAAAAAATAGTTTGATGATTATTATGGTATTTTTTTTATTTTTATTTTCAATCTGGTTTAAAAGGAATTTAATGTGGCAATATCAATAAAGTATGATATTAATTATGATTAATTTAAAAGTTGAAAACTAAATATAATAAGGTTATAATTAGGGGTGATAGCGAATAGAGCTTTCGGCAAACTACTCGTGTTCGCGTTCATTTATTAAGGTAAACCAACATTAACAAACAAAATTTAGAGCTCGGTTAATAAACGAACAGAGTCTGAACTGTTATAAGCTCGTTTGCTAAGAGATCACGAACAAGCTCTTCGTTAATAATGTTTGGGAACAAGCTCGTTTAATATTCACGAACAAGTTCGTTCGATAATGTTCGCGAACATGTTCACACACACACACACACATATATAGGGAAGGTATCAGGTGCGGGAATAGCTTCTCGTGCGGTTGTGCGGTTGTGCGGTTGGAAGCACATTAAGCATTAAACTGACGCACTTTAAGTACACAACACACGCACATCACACAAACAAAACACCTTAAGAACACAAATCACGTACCTTAAGAACACCAACCACTCACCTTAAGCACATAATAAAGCACCTTAAGAACACAAATCACGCACCTAAAGTTTTAAAAATGGTTCACTTTAAGTTTCGCATATCTGACGCACCTTAAACATACAAATCACGCACCTTAAGATGAAAACAACGCACATTAAGAAGCAAACTCACGCACCTAAATTTCAACAACTACTACCATTAAGTACACAATCCAAGCACTTTAAGCACAAACTCACGCACCTTATGTACAAAATTCAGACACCTTACTCACAAAAATTATGCACCTTACTCACAAAAATCACACACCTTATATACAAAACTCATGCACCTTATATACAAAATTCACACACACACGTTACCCCTTTTCTAATTATTGTATCGTGTGAGCATCTATCCTAGAGTGGATAATGCGAGGCGGCGAGCATTCTAGTACAGAAGTATTCTGACAATTCAGCCTTTCTTATCACTCTATCAGCTAGTCGACGACCACAAACATTTTTGTATGGTCAAAAGAAGATCGAGAAAAACAGCAACTGCTAACCTGCTGTATTCAGTAAAACCTGTCGTTAGTTTATCCTCTCTCTCAGATCTATCGTTGAAAATTTGAACAAAAAAAAAGATAGAAGCGTGTAGTGTAGTTTTATATGAATGATTGAAAAAGTGGAATGCTAGCTTTCAAACGTTAGTAAAGTACGTAATTAGTCAGACTACTTTCGTTTTCGTTGTCGACACAATTTGAACAAATTCCTTTCATCCCTTCAAAATTCTATCTGTTTGGTCCCAGCCTTGGAATTGAAATTGGAGGTTTCACACACACAGACATCTACCCTAATTTATAGTCACTATTCGTTAACTCTAGTTAGCAAATGATTACAAAAATGTAAACCAACTTAAGTTGTTCATATGACCGGTTCAATCTAAGATAAAAGTCGAACTTGTAACTTTATAAATAAGATGTCATAGATTAATGTACCAAAAAATGTTAAGTTGTAAATTGATAAATAATAAATATGTTAGTTCACTTTTAATCCTTTTTTTATTAGAACATCCACATTTGATCCTAGTATTATTGTGTCATGATCATTTTTTGCCATATGTTAACAAAATCGTTGAAATATCATTAAATACATAGAAATTTCAATCATTTTTATACAAAGTGAGTCGACCCCGTTATATTTTTATGTTTTTCTTTTTTGAAAAAATTCAAAATTGGAGACTAAAATGTCTTTGTATTTAACGATATTTCAACGATTTTGTTAACGAATGACTAAAAATGGTCATGCCACAATAATACTATGACCAAATATGGATGTTCTAATAAAAAGGACTAAGGGGGTGTTTGGTTGGATGTAATTTAGTTGTAATTGAATTGTAATTCAATGAAGACTTCAATTACAGTGTTTGGTTGGATCAAATGCTTTTGAGATAAGAAAAAGTATAAGAAATGACAAAAATACCCTTGTTGATTGTTATTATTATTATTACACAAGGATATTTTAGTTTTTATGCCACTTTTTTCTTCTCATTCCCAATAATTATATTCTTCCCTACCAAACAATGTAATTTGAATTCCAACACTATTCCTACCTTATTTTTTTTTCACCGAATTACAATTCTTTTCCTTCCTAATTCCTTCCTCCCAACCAAACACCCCGTAAAAGTGGAATGTCACATTTAAATCTAGTACCAAAAATGGAATTAAGTCAAACTGTAAATTACGGAACTATAAAATATGTATTTATTTGATATCGTAAAATAGGTAGAAGTAGACCTAACAAAAATTTTCCCAAACCCTATCCGTGCAACGACACAATGATTGGTGAACAATGGCTCTGCCTCATCAACGATTATCATTTTGGACGGTTTCCATGTATGGATATGTATGTAGTTTTCATCTTGTTCCTATTTAAGCTCCAAAAAAACTATATATTATATGCTCAACACGCTTCATCATTCTTCCAAGAACCCTAACCCTAAGGGCCCCTCACACCCCGGTCCGACAGAGCATTTGGGAGGATGTAAATCATGGTGACTCAACTGAACATGAACCATAGAGGCTAGATCGGTGCTCACTGCGCACAAGGAGCCCCCCTCACTTTGAGAGGTTGCTCCCACACTGCCGCTGGTGAAACTCAATCCCTAGTCATTCTTCCAAAATTTCACCTCTATGACCAGTGCTTCCAAAATTTCACCTCTATGACCAGTTGAGTTACCCATGCGGGCACGCTTCATCATGTATATATGGACCATACGTAATTGATCAACTCATACATAAAATATGAACATAATTAAACTCTAACTATACCATAAAAGTTAACTAACAGGCATAGATTTGACCTAATTAAATTTTACATTTTGACATGTATTTTCACCATAGTTGATTGGGTTAGTGGGTTTCATTGAGTTCGGAAAAAATGATTTATAGAAGGTATAGTAGGTAGAGAAGGTCTATCAAATAGAATAAGAGTGATTAGGCATTATTGGGATTGAGCCAACGGCCAAGAAGATACGACAGAGGGTAATTGATAAAGATCGGACGGAGCATGTGCAGCGTCGACAATGAATGCTTTGCGACAACAATGTTGTTCGCATGCATGAATCCATGCACGTACTTTCTTCTCCGACGTAGACGTATGCATTGCTTTTACCACACTGCAATTTGCTTTCTGCACCATTAATTTGCTCTGCCACCACCGTATTCACATGCTGCTATCCGATCCATTCACTCTTTATATCACCTTCGTGTATGTATATATATATATATAGTTGAGTTCAGGTGTGGTCGCCGCCCCAATAGTTATGCAAATATACACCAACGTTAGGAAATGCACAACAAAAAACGCACAAATTAAATACGCATCATCAAAAATTTCACTATTAGATATCAATAAAAGCATCACACAGTATTGAAAATGCACCATTAGGAGTGGGATAGTTGACTAGTTGAGCAATCATTATACGATGGATCATGGTTCACTTTATAAAATAAACTTTTGACATATGGTACATTTTTAATATACTAAAGGTACATTTTTAATACACTAAATGTTCATTTTTTAAAAGTACATTATTTGAGTACTAAAGATACATTATTTGGTATACTATCAAATAATAAATCTCTAGTATACAAATAATATACATTTAGTATATTTACAATGTACATTTATTCCTGGTCTACATTGAAATGTGGACTATGGTCCACGGTATAATTTGCCCTATTAATGAGAAATAAATCACGGATGTATCTCAACTGGCTTACAAGTCTCCAAATACTTGGATGCTAATACGACAATAAAGTCACATTTATACTCCCTTTTTCTTATCATTGATATAATTCAAAACACAATTACATAAAATTAGATTTTTTTTTTTTTTTTTTTTGTGATGATAGAAACCCACAGTCACTATCCAGTAATGTATACTGAGTAAACTTTGCTCTCATATAATAGCCCGCAAGTTACACCGGAGAAAATTGGAGCTTTTTTGTTCATATTAATGAGAGTTAAAATTGTATTAAAGAACATGTTTGCTATTCCATAAGAAATGGAATAAGCAAGGAATAGAATAGGAATTGTATTCTATTGTTTCGTTCGCGCAAGGAATAAACTTTAATGGCCCGTTTGGTTCACAGAATAGGCCGGGAATGGCATAACATTCCCAGTAATAGGCCTATTCCTTTGTTTGGTAACCATTTCTATTACCAGGAATAATATTCCTGTTAATAGCCTATTACCTCAAATAAGATAATAGCTATTACTAGGGCCCCCCTGGTATTAGCCTATTACTGAACGCTCAGGAATAAATTTTAAAATCTATTTCCTTTTTTACCCCTTTCTTTAACCTAATTTTTTTATCCTATATATAAATTTATCCTAATTCACCACCGTCGTCGCCACCACCACCATCACCGTCGCCACCGCCGCCACCACCATCGCCGCCGCCGCCACCACCACCACCACCACCGTCGCCACAACCATCGTCGCCCCCACCACTGCCACCGCCACGACCATCACTACCACCCCAGCACCACCACCGCCGCCACCACCATCACCACCACCGCCACCACCACCACCACCGCCACCACCACCACCACCATTGCCGCCGCCGCCACCACCGCTATATATATATATATATATATATATATATATATATATATATATATATATATATATATATATATATATATATATATATATATATATATATATATATATATATATATACAAAAAAGGTGTTTTCGGTTAGAGTACAAAAACTATTCCCATATACTTAAGTATAGCTAATACCAGGGGGTCCCTTAGGAATGGCTATTCCCCCTACAAAGGGAATAGCTCATTTCCGGATGTTATTCCCAATCTTGAAAGATAAACCAAACAATGAAATATGTCTATTTCTGAAAATAGTATTTCATTCCCGACCTATTCCATGAATCAAAAAGATGGTTAGATCTTTAAATGCAAGAAGATATTTAGAATTCCGTAAGAAAGTAGCTAATACTTAGGATCTCAATAAGTGACCAACTATCCTTTCATAAAAGTCTTAATTTGAGACTTTTTAATTACTTAAATCTTATGAGGAAGTTATCATTTAATAGATCTAAAATAAACCGGGAAGACCAAATACAATGAACTTCAAAGCATTGCTTTCAAAAATTTTATAATTTATAATAATAAGGTTGGACCACATTTAGAATTTGCTTGCTGGTTACAAACTCAATCATATCATGCACAACTTGTATGGCCTTTCAACCCTTTCAACATAAACCAGACATATATCTCCTATCCTCTTTCCTTCTTATCCTTCAAATTTTCAATATCTGTTTTTTAAGGCAACTTTGTTTTATGGTCTTCCATTTTTATTTATTTATTTTGTTTTGCAGTGAGTACTATTATGTGCATACATATATGTACCACCATGGCAAAAAGAAAATAGGGGAAGAACAAGCTTAATAGAAAACATTTCTTTTCCTAATTTTTTTCAACCACTTAATGAACAAACATCCCAACGACGCCGCTCTTTTTTATTTTTGGTCACAAAATCACGAAATACTAAAATTATATATATTAATAATTTGATTAATATATATATATATATATATATATATATATATATATATATATATATATATATATATATATATATATATAATTAACTAGCTAGTTGCTAAAATATTAATGGCAGATTCGCAGAATAGGCCTAAAATGAAATAGCATTCACAATGTTCCTGGGAATGACATATTCCCCTTACAAGGGAAATAGAGATTCCTGGGACCCCTGGTATTAGGCTATTCCCCTTGCAAGGGTGTGTTTATTGACCACAGAATTCTTCATTTTTATGGAAACACCAAAAAAAAAAAAAAAAAAAAAAATCAAAATCAAACTATGTATTTCCTATACATTTCTTCAAATTTAGAAACATAATGGACTTGAAAGTTGCAACTACAATTCCCCAAATTGAATCCAATAGAAACTACAAAAGAAACTATAATATCAAAAAAAAAAAAAATCCGAAAATCCTTTTAAACAGGAATGAGAATAAGAATAACATGGATGGAGAACTTCATATAGGAATATGAATGTAGCATTTACTATTGAGACAAACACTAATTACAACTTCATCAGAGCATTACAACCGAAGCAAGATACGGAGGGGGGAGCACATAATAATCGTCGATAGAAGAGCAGTAAGCGCCAACCATAGTATAAAGGCATACAGCACTAAGTAGCGATGGCTATAGGAGCATATAAGGTTGCCAACATCATAGTCGCATCAATAGTACAACACAACATAAAAAGGTTTAAATTACCAGGAATTAGAAAGAAGTTAAAACTTCCATCCATCCATCCATCCATATTGAAGAATCAAGCATACAAAGCTGTTAGCTCCTTTGGCGATCTACCAATCCCATTGTCATATTGCTTGCAAGCAGCCAGCTCCTTTGACGATCTACTGATCTCATTTTGCTTGCAAGCTGTACCCTGGGATAAAGGCAGATATATACGACAGTAATGAAAATCTTACACCGGCTATTATCCCTAGCTTCCATCTTCGACCGCTAATACTATTACTAAAGATCATGAACAATTTACAAAAGTCGCTTTCACTCTGTCGTGAAGGAAGCAAAGGGTGATGCCTCGATCCTTCAGTATGGATGGGGACAAGAAATAAACTAATGGTATTTGGGATTTTAGAAGTTTTCTTCAATTTTCTTTGCAAGGGTATATGTATAACGGGTAACGGATTAGGCGACACTTACCTCGCTGTCCTGCCATATGGCACCGACACACTTGGAAAAGCTAATGCTGGAACTTCTTAGTAAGCAACGCTCACTGTTGTTTGTTTTACAGTGACCATTCTGAGAATGACCTATATCTGAATCAGCAGCAGCATCCGATTTCTTATTCTTCGGTGATGCACGGGGGCTAGGGAGACATCTGTGAGCAACTGCAGCCACAACATGCTGATCAAAATCACCATCCTGATCCGTATCCTCATCTATGGAAACACAGACCCGCTCTCTGGAGATAAAACAATGACCTTTAGAACTGATACAGAGTTCAATCATCAAATGAAGTGAAAGAGTTGTGATTTCTAACCTAGGCAAGGAAGCATATCGCCTTGGAGCATTTCTGACACTTTTACCATAGTGATCCTCAAGATTGTCAAACTGTTGCTTAAAACAATCAACTCCACTATAATAACAAAGTAAAAATCCATGTGAGTGTAGGATGTGAATACAAACACACAGCACCAGCGAGTGAGTTGTGAAGTGAAATGCTAGTGAATGACTGAAAACAATTGCATAATTAAAGGGGTATATTCAATCTCAAAATGCCATGATCGGATGCTTAATAATATAAATTGTTGTGTGGTTTGCAGGCTATTACACAGGAGTGGAGTTTACCCAGTGCACACTCTTGGGTAGTGACTGCGGATTTCCCTTGTCACCCCAAAATAATAATAATAATAACAATAACAACAACAACAACAACAACAACAACAACAATAATAATAATAATAATAATAATAATAATAATAATAATAATAATAATAATAATATAAATTGCTGATATAAACCACCTTATGTAACCATTTTCCAAGTTGGACCACGATGTGGAGCAATAGAGTAAAGCTATCCCTGAATACGAACAAAGGTTCCTTTTTCCCGTGGATACAATAGTAAAAGATGGAATAATAAAATTTGGGTGGATTCAATCTTAACAGGAACAGGGATGCCTGGTATTGCACAAATTGCATAGCATGTTATTGAGACAATAATCTTCCAACAAATAAAATACCACCTCCATTCTGAACTCTCCAAATGTAATGCACAAGTTACTCAATGATTACCAAGGGAGGGTCATAATTCATAAAGATATCATATCATTTTGGTCATAATGTCGGGATAATAAATGGCTTCCAATTCTGCATTATGTTTCAATGCAACTGGATGACAGCATTAGACATTTTTAAAGGCTTGGTCATAATTACACTCAATTATCGAACTTCACTGGTTTACCAGCATAACCAGTATCCTTATACAAGGTGACTTGTATAGAACACATTGGGAAACAAGATTAATCAGCAACTTGCCAACTCTCGTCCCTATGTTTTTGCCTCACAAACCCCTATGAAACTAATTTGGTCCATTAACCCAAACATTCTTCAATTTGGTCACTCAGCCCACATTTTAAAGAACCCCTTACAAGACTGTTAAATGAAGATGACTTGGTAAATACCAATTGACCTGACTTGATCAGAAGTGCGACAGGTTGTAGAGCAACTATATATCCCATTCTCTCTCTACAAATTCTGTCTCCTAAATTGCATCTCACTTCATCCCTTCTCTAAAATCCTAAGCTACATCTCCCACCCACCCCACCCCCCCCCCCCCTCACACTCTCTGTGTGAAACAATCCTATCATATCACAGCATCATAGAGAGATGCTGCCTTGTCTCTAGTGCTTGCATGAATAGAAGCTTCCAAGAGATGGCAAGAGAAAAGGGGGGCATAAATTGATTATCGATTTTGAAGTCAGTAGAGAAACAAAAAAATAAACAAATAAAGATGGTATGCTGCAAGCCTGCAACCCTGGACTTAGAAAATGTCAAGCATTATGTCCCACGAGGTCAACACAATCTCTGAATTGAATTTTCAGGCAAGGGTTAGAAGTTTGACTGACAATCTGGGGTGACTGTTCAGGGAATGATTGGAGGAGAGAAATGTATGTCATTGACCCAAAAAAAAAAAAAAAAAAAATGGTGATGGTGCATAGTTTTTATCACCAGCAGATCTATCAGAAAAATGTGAGGGTTGCTGGAGCAAGAGATGTAAAAGTAAAACTCTGGAAACTTCTAATACCAACAGACCTCCAATTGTTTTTCACATAGTACCTAACAAGTAGTAAATTAGGATTGAATGATAAACATGTCAAATTGCTATTCTGCAAAGTATAAAATTTTAGGTGCTAGAATAAATCCCAAAAAAAAAAAAAAAAAAATCACTTCTGATTTTGCTGGTTGTTCACGGTACCTTTTAATTTAATAATTTAAAGAGAGCAAATTTTCTTCTTGAGTAAGAACTTTATAAAATAAAGAGCAAATTTTCTTCTTGAGTAAGAACTTTATAAAATAAAGACTTAAGAAGAAAAAGGCATGAAAGACTTAAAAAATGGATGTTGCATTAGAAGGAATATAATGAGATATATTTTTATCTTGATGATAGCTTGAGACCACCAGGAAAAGAAAAAATGAACATGCAGTGAGCTAAAGAAATAAATAGCACCAAAAGACATAAGCTTCTTAAAAAGGTCATTGCAAAACCTCGGATACAGAAAGCTAGTGTGATCAATTCCATGAAGATACTCCTGCAGCATCTGAGGATGGTACTCCAAAATCTGTGTTTTTAGATAAAGGTACCTTGTAAGTAAAAATAAAAAATAAAAAAAAATAGAATAAAGGTATTACTCTGTATATTGAGAAAAGATCAGATAGCCAAATTAGTACCTCCCTGTATACAAGCTCCCTAACATCATCTTTTGTCAGTTTTCTCCTTTCAAAGTCAAATTCAAATCTTGAAATTGGCCTGGCAGAAGGTTCTTCTTCAACATTTCCCAAACCGTGAAAATATGGATCTGCCAATGCCTAAAGAAGAGATCAAAGAATCACCAATATCAGGATAAGAACCCCTTTATTTAAAAAGAGCATAAGACATTTAGGAAAGTTATGCAAACTTTTCTAAACACCATTAATAATATTACCTCTTCAGCAGATGGACGATCTTTCGGATCAAATGCAATTAAACGTTCAAGTAGTCTAAGAGCTAGTGGGTCAATATCTGGAAATTTTTGCGAGAGAGGAATAGGAGATTTCTTCCTCATGCTACTTAAATATCTCCTGGCCTTTTCATTTCGAATCTGCATATATTAGGTAATACTTCACTGAGATGCAGCCAAAGACAAATAGAAGTTTAGCAACTGCTATAGGTAAGAGGAGAGGTATACCCTTGAAATGGTTTCAGTGGAGGGAGTGCCCAGTAAATCAGTGATGATATCCAGCTGGTGGACCACATTTTTCCCAGGGAAAAGTGGTTTTCCAGTAAGCATTTCTCCAAATATACATCCTATGCTCCAGATGTCAATTGCTGGTGTGTACTGCAACAAATGTCATGAATTAGAAGTCCACTAAGAGATTTCTTAAGACCATTGCCTAATCAAGAACCATCTAGCGTGCATATCAAGAATGAATTTAAACAGAAATTGATTTGTTTATCTGCATTAAGAATCCCAATTGAAGAGATTCTCTTGATGGGAACAAAAACTTTTATTTTTACATATACACAAAGAAAATGTCTTTTGTGCATCAAGAATAAAACCCTGACATTTGTTTGCCCTCTAGATGATGCTAGAACCAGAAGAACAGACGGACAGTACAGGAGTCACATGATAGATTAAACTTAGGATGAAGAGAGTTACTCTAGATGACAATCGAACTTTGTACTTGAATATAGAGATGTTACTCATACACAAAGTTTAACAACAAAGGGCAAGGCCAAATCATAACTAGAAAAATGATAACTATGAAGCAAATTAAACCAAACAAAACAACAGTGCCCACTAAGTTATCATTATAGCACATTCAGATCCTTAAACCATCTAAGCTAGCTACCTATCAATATAAAACATCTAGGTGGTGATCGGGAGTTACAGACCATTCAAAAGCTATAGAGCAGTTGTTTATAGAAATGAAGATAGTTTAACTTGGAAATGGAGTTCAGTTTAGAAGAAGTCATATAAGCTTAATAATTTATTTATGGGGAAAACATGAGAGCATTAATCAAGATGATGAAAGCTCTCATGTTTGCCCCATAAATGAATTATTAAAGCTCATAATGGTTGCATGAGAAAAAGGCACATATCTCTGCACAAACAATTGTTTGTATAATACACTTACTTTAGAGAAGAAGGAACCACAAAGTTCAGGAGCTCGGTACCAACGTGTTGCCACATAGTCCTTCAAAGAAGCAATAAGCTTTAGCATAACCCAGGAAATTAGAATTGTAAAAAGTGGGAATATAATTACAGTGCTTATGTGCATGAATTGCAATTGAATAAAACTAAACTCAGAAACTTTAAAGGAGAGGAAACACATACAGTCCAGAAAACAGCAGATGGGGCATCACCAAATGACACCCGAGCAAGCCCAAAATCACAGAGTTTCAATTTGCAATCTGCATTAGCTAGAATGTTCTTTGGCTTTAAATCTCGATGGAGCACATTTGCTGCAAAAAGAGAAGGCATTAGAAGATTTATAGTCATGTATGTAAAAAAAAAAAAAAAAAAAAAAACAAATAAATAAATACTTATAGTTGTTTCTAAAGCATGGACAAACAGCAACCTGAATGCATATACTTTAAACCCCGAAGAAGCTGATACAAAAAGAACTGGAAATGCTCAGGAGTCAGGTTGTCATTTGTCTTAATCACATGGTGAAGGTCACACTCCATTAACTCGAAGACAACATAGATATCTTTGAATTCTCTACGACATGGAGGCAACATTATATGTTTTATTTCTACAATATCAGGGTGTCGAAGCAAGCGAAGGAGCTTTATTTCTCTCATGATGCGAGTAGCTTCTGAAACATGCTCAAAAACATCATTGATCTTCTTGATAGCTACCTTCTCTCCTGTATGAGTATCAACTGCAGCAGCTACAACCCCGTAGCTTCCCTTGCCAACAACCTCTTGGATCTCATACTGACTCGCCTCACCATATTCAGTGAAGAATTCTTTGAAAGGCATATTCTGCAATGTAAAAGATATAATACCTGAGCTAGGTTTTCTACTAAAACAAAGAGAGATTCAAAGTGCAATATAAATGTATAATAAATAAATAATCAAACATAACAATAGAACAGGTGAAATGAGAATGACCTTCTACACCCTAGTTTTAAGCATATCAACAACAGGTAAGAACACTTCTTTTCCCCACCCCCCCCCCCCCCCCCCCAGTCCTACATATGGAAACTAAATGCCAAGCAGGCAATTCCCTTTGTGTCGCCACAGAGAATGAACTGAACTGATGCCGCTTGAATATCTACCCTGTATATTATCCAGGCCAAGCACTGTTCAATATCTAGGAAGTTCATTCAGTTGAAGTAGATGGCGGAAAAGTGAAAGTGATGGTACAAACAACTAACCCAGTGCACTTGAAAACTGATGGTAAAATTCCAAATACTACAGATTTTAATGTTAATAATAAATTATAAGACTTTGATCAGTTATGTCGGATAGGAATCTGTTCGGCTTAAAGAAATCTTGGCTTTCAATGTTGATTGATTAGGGTTCAAAAACACCTTGAACCTACTTTGTGCCGAATGTATTTGAAGCAAAAATACGTTTAGGTCCATAATGCACTAATGGCAATCCAACCTATTCTCCTAATCTGCAATTAGTTATATCTTGCGGAATATACCCAAGTTTGTCCAAATTATTTGAATTAGAATAGCACAGTTTGATTCGATAAGAGCACATAGATTCAAAACAATAGGCCTTAACCTATTACTCCGACTTGAATCTTCACATAATAGAATCAGAGGCAAATGAAATAGAGCTGTGCAAAGAAATAGTAGACCAAAGATGGTTTGAGACTTTGAATTGCAATCATTAAGTGAATCATATATTTATTGGGATTTCAAGGTTTATATTTCCCCTTCCCTAAACCCTAGGTGTGCCAAGCTAACAACTCGTATCAACTTAACGGCAGGTCACTTGGCAAAATAGCAGTATCTATAAACAGAAAATAATAGTTCTATCTGGCCGAATGCATAAGAAGCCAGATCTTATATATTATGTTTATATGCACAAAGTAAGGTGATTAATTGGATAAGATTAATTGCAAAATCATAAATAGATATGTGAAATTTACAAGTGGTTTACTTGTATGCTTATTCTTCAAAAAAATCTGATAGTGATGTTAGATTACAATCATTAAAATAAAAAAAATAAAAAAAAACGTTAACCAAGTACAGAGATCAAAACAATAAACTTAAATATCAAACTGCAAGATATACAAAATACACAAATTTACCATTTATGAGACAACTCCTTGTAGAATTTACTCCCAAACCTACAAGTGTGTCAAAAGACAGAATAAGATGGAAAATGAACTCAGAAAATGCAGAACTTCATATCCATTGCTACACAACACATCGAAAATGAACATAGAAACTTCAAACTCATTGATGTAAGACGCATCTCTCCACAATAAACACAAACAACACTGCCGCAAATCTACGACACAATCTCGAAATCAAGTGATTTAACTTTACTCCCACATGTTCGCAACAATAGTAAATCAAAATCTGCTCTTTTCTCCCCTCGAACCCAATTCGACATCATAATTCCCAACAAGAAATGAAAACAAAACAAAAAAAATCCAAATTCCACTCCAAACAACATCATCGCTGCAGAAAAATTACCTCCGATGACAAAAAAATCAGTCTCCAAAAGCTAACCAGAGCAGCTGAGCTCGGTTCCCGGCGCTTTCAGAGATCGAGAATTTGTGAACTCAAAATGACAAAATTACCATAAAAATCAAAGCGTAAAGTCGATGAATAAACGCCCCCAATATATATGCAAATTATTAGGTGGACTGGGCGTCCACGAGTCCATATGTTCACAATTTATCTTTAAAAATTTCACATATTATAAATTATGATATGTAATTGATTAATTTATTTTGTATTTATAAATTTATTTTAGATATTACAATTACACAATATAAACATATTAAAATTTATTAACCATATCCAAAAATATATAATTTATATATTATTTATAATTATAGTCTATTTGGTAAGGTGTACCCTGATCTATAATATAAGAACTCCAATATATATCAATTTATCTACACACGCAGCGACACGTAAATGTCAAAACAGAATATGTCAGGCCCCAAAAAATATCATAGCGTTCTGAAAAAGTTACATATTTAATTTAATTTAATTTAAATAAATAAATAAATGCCAACCATATATTAAATTGGTGGACATAAGAAAATAATAAAATAGAACCAATCGATAGATCTTCGGAATCCATCCTAAAAGACAAAAATAATACCAATCCGCGTCCTTATTTTGCGAACCTTATCTTCTCCACGCTCCCCTGTCGCCTTGTCAGTCTGTCATCACCATACACAAACAGCCCTCGAGATTCAATGTACATGTATAATGTGTATATATACATTCATACTATATATATGTGTGTGCTCGCGCATATGTAATTCACACAAATATATAGATATAGATGGATATATAGGTGACTCTAGAGGTTGTGAGAATGGTAAGAGCATTTACACTACTGTTTTTTTTTTTTTTTTCTAAAAGTTCTTGTAAATGTAATTAGGAAAAAGAATTTAGGAGGAAAGAGTAAAAAGAAAAAATAATAATAAAATAAAGTTGTGACAGCCATGCATAGGCCGCGCGGATGGCATATTTCTACAGTGGGTTTCACGTTTCTACGAAAAATCACTTCGTTGCAAGAGGAACTCCTTCCCTCTTTCTTTTCCCTCTCGATTCTTTATGTTGGCCATTTTACTCTCAAAAACCGTGAAAGATCTGCTGATGTAGATGCTCTTAAGGAGAAGCTTGTTGGAAAAAATAGCTTAAAATGGCATAAAAATGCATGTTAAGTGACTATTTTGTGGTACAATTATCAGTGGGGTCCACTTCCGATTTGGGTCGGGTCAATGTGGATTCGGATTCTTCGTAGTGAGACGAAGAGATCGATATATTGTACGCTCAAAACGGATAATGGGTGAATGAGATATTGATTCTCAAAGTAGACCCATTTGAGTTGGAAAATGAAGGGATAAAGTGAGCTTTGTAGAATTGTATAGCATAAAGGCTCTCGCGCGCGCGCACCGGGAGGTGCAAATCAAATTCCAACTAGACGAGATTGAAAAAGACTTGATTCAAGCCCGAGCTCGTGTGCGCGGGCACGAATGTCGTCCGGAAATTGGCGTGGCCTTACGGGCTAAGTTATGCCAAACTTCGAAATCATTTTCCAACACACGCCACTGGATGTGGCCGAAACCACAGAGGTTTCGGCCTAGCTGCCTAGATGGTTTCCGCCTTGTGGCCGAAACCTGTAGGTTCGGCTTTGGACAGGCCGAAACCTATGTCTCGGCCTTGCGGGCCGAGACTGTGTAAGGGCCATGGCCGAAACTTCCATGTTTCGGCCTGATGGTCGAAACTTGAAGTTTTAGCCTGCACGAACCTGTATTGCTTTCTGTGACCGTTGGGTGTTCAATTCTTACTGTTACGGAATTAAAAGCTATTTAAGTCCTCCACCCCTATATAAGAAGGAGTTGGGCAGTAGAGTTTTTACACAGAAAAATTGAACACGAAAGTTCATCTTTTTAGCCTCAAAACCTCTCTGCTTCTACTCTTTCTTTGCCTACTGTGTTCATAGCTTTGTCTTGCTCGCCGGATTCCTTGTTTGAGTGCTCAAACATTGAATCACTAGCAAGTTTTATCCTAGGAAGCCTAGGCCACAACGCTCCTAGCATCTTTGGGAGGTGGCAAATAAGGTTTTAAGGAAAGAGTGCATGCTTGACTCTTGCAAAAACCCAACACCAAACACTAGCCAATTTCTTCATCTTTTCTTCCCTTCTTTCTAGAAAATAATAATCATTTTTTATTTAATTATTATTTGTTTTTTCTACCAACGGTACCAACAAAGCTGACCCCTCCGCATAGAGATTATGATAGCGACGGCTCTGTTGTTTGAGGAAGGGCGCGTTTGGAAGGGTTTTGGAGCCTCCGTTCAATTTTTAAGTTCGACATCTAAATTTAAGGTCTTTATGGGCTCTAGTTTGAAGACGAGTGGATGAATTATATCGCTAAATGAGGCGAAGTCACCAAATATTGTTTCGTGGAGCTAGCTTAATTGGTTAGATTGATTGAAAAAAAAAAAAAAAAACGTGATTAGATCACCTTTTAAAGTCTTGCTCTAAGAGCATCCACACTAGTGGATAATATGGAATTATTTTTACATGAATTCTTTCTAACTAGAGTTAATAGTTGATGTGAGTGTGAATTATTTGAGAAATAATCCTCCTGCAAATGAGAGGATCATGTTAGAAAAAGAAAAAGAAAAAGAAAAGAAGAATGAAGGGCTGGCAGCCACATCTGATCCGTCTGGTTCGCATAGCATTCATCCGTCTTTTATATTTATTAACATTAACATTTAATTTGTTTTTTTATTGTTTTATTATTTATATTTTAAAATTTTCACAAATTTCAAAATTTTTCATTTGCGAATTTTTCACATTCAATATTTTTCATTTGCAAAATTATTTCTTTTATTGTTTTATTATTTACAAATTTTTCACAACCATCTTTTTTTGTTTCATTTGCAAATCCAGTATGCAGTTTCACTATTTTTTATTAAAAAAAATTATAAATAAAATAGATAAAGACATAATTAAAATATAGTGGGTAAAAATGGTGGGTTCACAAAAAATTTAAAAAAAAAAAACTTAAAACTGATGTGGAGAAGAGTTATCTGTGATTGAGTGAGATAGTGGAGGATGAGGTGGATGCTGGGGCTCACAAATAACTCATAAAAACCCCAACTGATAAGGATGCTCTAAAAATAATATAGTGAGTTAGAATCCTACTATGAACTTGGTAGTCATTGAGAGACCTCGATCAAAAGAGATGAAAACCTCCACGTACGCCGGTGTATAGACATGTGAAAACCTATATGGAGCGGTTTTCAATTTACCTCCTCCTGCGGTTATTAAACAAGGACTCTAAAAACTTAGAATTAATTTAGCGTAATTTAATGTATTTAACAAAAAAAAAAAACACTAAATACTTGTATATTAATATTCACGAAATACTAAATTCATATCTATTTTTATTTATTTTTTAACTATTCAATTTCCAATCTCCGCTCAAAACGTCGTCATATGTTGATTTTGGACGACGAAATCCACCGAACGGACCGGAGTTGACAGCTTAACCATCGAAATTGGAATTTAAGATTGTGGTTATGATTCTTTTGAAAACGATTTCTCTCTTAAAATGGTGATATATGGTTGTAAATAATTTCTTGTATTTTTTTTTTCTTTTTAAAATTTCAGCCGACACGTGTGTGTGTCGTGTTGAATCGTTCGCCTCATCTTTTGGGACAAACTTAGTGCGCTTGTGTTTAACATGACTGCACCTCCATCTCTTTAAAATTACACATTTACCTTGTGTTCTTTATATTTAGGGCCTTTAGGGGGGGGGGGGGGGGGGGGGATTTGCTTAAGAATTTAGATTTTTTTTTAAAGAGCAAATTTTAGTTTTATTTTTTATTATTATGATATTGGTATATTTAATTCTATTTTTTTATTTTGTTTTATTATATTCTTAACTTTTATTTGATTGTTTTAATTAATTTTTTTTATTTAAAATTCTATCATTCCATTAAATTTCAATTGATTTGACTAACGTTTATAAAGAAAGGAAAAAGAATATTAATGACTCATACGGGTTTAGCTCAATGGTTTTAGTGAGCAGTATTTGAGAGAAGAGACAAGGTCCAAACTTCGGCGGCAGTACCGGTATTTGGATTTGGCTCTGTCCGTTGAATAGAGGTAGGATGTTGGTCTTAACCGTACCCTTCACAATACCAACCTCCGCTCAACAATCTTTTTAGTCATCACCAATTGCTAAACTTAACCCTTCACCAGCATTCGCCAACAAGTCTTAACCGTACCCTTCACAATACCAACCTCCGCTCAATAATTTTTTTAGTCACCAATTGCTGAACTTAACCCTTCACCAGCATCCGGCAACAAGCACTCTTCTCAAGATCATGTGCTACGAAGGTGGAGGCAAATGGAAACAAACCATTGGTTTAGGAATTTTGTTGAGAATAATTGAGAAGATGGAGGAGAACGAAAACAAATTGTGGGCTATTATGGAAGACTTTAATAATAATACCAACAACTTATTAAAATATATAAAAAAAATTTGTTATTGAGTTCCAAAAAAGGTAACTAGTGAATGTAATATTATTTTCATACCTTGATTATCATGAGTTTAATTTTTATTAAAATTTAATAACATCATCCCTCTTAATTGAGTCGTACCAGATAACGTGAACTAAATGCTGAAAATTTAACATTATAATGAGTAAATAAGATATTCTTTTGGTAATGTTATATAAATAACTTTTCTTTTTTTAAAAAAAAAAAAAAACGCTCCTTTAGGGTTTATTTGACTGTAGATTGGGGGTGTGTTTAGAAGAAAAGTTGGAGCAGTATCTCCAAGTAGCCGTATGATAACATTGTAGTCGGTGTATTTGCTGTTATTAATGTTTACGACTATTACAAATTTTATTTTAATATAAATAATTATTGCTATCTTCATTAAAATAATTAATATTTTTACCTATTATAAATAATCTCCAATTTAAAAATAAAATTATTATATTCTCCTATGGTCCAAACTCAAAAGTATATTGGTTCAAAATAGGAATGACAAAATTTGCCCGCAAAGGCTTAACTCACTTGTTTAGTAGACAGTATTTAAAAGAAGGGATTAAGATTCGAATTTCGACAATGGCAGTGTGTGGATTATGCCTAAAGTGGTAGATCCCTTGTGTGCACCAATATTTGGCCCTGTTTGCTGAGTCATTGAGTCACCGTGATTTACCAATCGTTATGTTACGGACCTGTGTCCAACATACATTGTGGACACGGAATGGTGCCGTAAGTGGCACCGTTATCTTCCACCATTTTTTTTTTTAAATTTCAGACCGCTTTGTTATAGGAGCATATGTTCATAATTTTATCACTATATGTTCATAATTGTAAGTTCATAATGTCAGGGCTCTGTGTTCATAATTCTATAACTGTACATTCATAATTCCATAACTGTACATTCATAATTCCGTAATTGTACATTCATAATTCCGTAATTGTACATTCATAATTCAATAACTGTACATTCATAATTTTTGAAGCTCTATGTTCACAATTTTATCACTATATGTTCATAATTGTAAGTTCATAATGTCATAGCTCTGTTTTCATAATTTCATAACTGTACCTTCATAATTTCATAACTGTACATTCATAATTCCATAACTGTACTTTCATAATTTCATAATTGTACATTCATAATTCCACAGACGAATAACGCCATTAACGCCTTAACGGCGAGACAAAATCAATTTTTTAAAAAATTGGAATGCCGTCATTTTCTCTAAAAACGACGTCGTTTTGGACTCGTGTCCACAAT